GAAACTTCCGGCGAGGTTTGTGGCTAGCTCCGGCGACTTCACACCAAATTGACAGCACCACTACACTCCTTACACTCTTAGGAACACTTAGGAAGAATTTTGAAGATGAATGGTGAAGAAATGAGAAGAATTGAGTTTCTTATATAGCAAGAGGAAGAGGAAGAAGACATGGGAAGCTGAGTTGCTGCTGCGTAGGATTCCCATTTCACGATTCATTCGGAGATAAAGAGATTCAGCACGTTACTCCCTGATTGGGACTAATTTTGGTCCCAGTCGGGGTACACTTTTTGGTCCAACTTTCTCCAAATTGAAATCCGTTTGCACCGTTGCGATCGGACAGTTAAACTCTATCCAACGATATAATTTTTATATTTATTCGTTATACTTTTTCTGACATCATATTTTTGGGTGGTTGACTTTGACAGAGTCAAAATTGATTCAATTGACATTTATTCAAAAAGGTTCTCATGATTAATTCATATCATTTATTCCGATGATTTATTTTAGTATATCTTTTCAATATTTACATCACAAGTCAATTTCTTAATTTATTCTTGATTTGGGTCTGTACTCAGGTTCCCAATCAAGACCATACAAATAGTCAACATATTGGATTTATTTCTATGAGATTTAACCCAATTATGTTTATTGGACATCAATATATATTTTATCTCGGCCCAAAGCCCAATAATAATTTATTTTAATCAAAACAAATTTTGTTTAATTGAATATTTAATTCAATAAATTTTAGGGTATATTTTGGGGCGTTACAGTTTGATGACGGGACTAATTGATGACTGGGGGGCTTATAAATAAGCCCAGGCAAAGAAATTGAAGGGACGTTCAAGTCCCAAGGCAGCTGAACCGATAAAGCAGCCTTGAGCCGCGCGAAGGTCCAATCAGAGAATGCAAGGGACAGTGGGTCAATTGGGCGGCACATTGGCCAATCCAGAGGTTGGGCCTAGTCATGTAATTGGGCCGGGGTCAAGAGTTGGGCCCAAACAAGGACGTCCATGTGAGCAGGTTAAACTAAAGGAAAGAGCATTGTAGTAAAATGCAGAAAAGGGAAAGCACATGGTAAACCAAACAGGTCGAAAAGCGCGTCCAATATGAGAACATTACATCAGGAATATCAAAATCATTCCGAAAAACAAAAAATCATAAATGTTTGCAAGGCTGAAGGGGGATAACAGGGAAGATTAGGTGCTCGAACTGGGATTTCCACCCGCCTTGGATGTTGCCAAGTTGGCCCCCAGATTCTGGTCGCCCTGTACTTCTTCTTCTTCTTCTTCTTGTTCGTCGGAAGCGCTCGAGCTCCCTCCGTCCAAATAAGGACTGGGGTCGAACTCAGCCAGGGAGGGGAGGAGGAAAGCCAAGGTCGAGGAGAGAGAATCCTTTGGGGAGCTGGGCTAGCCTGTCACGGAAGACTTGTTGGGCGCGGAAGAGTCCACAATTGAAGGACTTTGTCCCCTCATTGACCATCCATTGGGCCCCAGGTTCAGTTTTGAGCCACTCGGCAGTCAGCTTGTCCATTCGCTCCAGAGCGACCATCGTAAAATCAGGTGAGGACTTGAATGACTCGATCGCTTCCTCCGCATGGCGGACCCGGTCTTCCCTCTCTTTCTCCAGCTGCTTGATCAGGTCAATCTTCTCCCCCTCCAACTCCACCACGCGGGCTGAGACAGATTCCACCTCCGAAGACAAGTAGGCTTTATCTGCCTCAAGAGTGACGCAGCGGTCCTCTTGGGAGGTTTTCTCTGCTTCAAGAGCAGCACAGCGGCTCTCCCTCTCCTCCAACTCCCTCGTAAGGCGAGCGACCTCCTGTTGCAGTTCCTTCTGCTTGGCCTCTGCCGCTTTCATCGCCTCATCGGTGGCGGCTAGGCGGCCCCGTTTCCTGCCGACAACCTCAATCATCCCCAGCGTAGCCTACAACAAGGCATAAAGGTTAGGAGCATGAGAGGGAAGGGTGGTGGAAGAAAATCAATGCAAGTACCTGGCTTAGCATTAAGAGGACCATGTTGTCAAGGTCGTCCTCAGAACCGGCCGAGATGCGGGCCTGGTCCTCTGCGGGCAGAGTGATCAGGTTCTCCAGCTGCACGTCCCCTAGACTTTGGGGCAGAGGAGGAATGCAGAGCCTCATCGAGCAACCCCCGGTCGCCACCTCGTAGGTTACTGCGGGCGACGAAGGAGGTCGCTCCGAGGCAACACCATGGGACGACCCAGCGAGGTCGCCACCCGGCATCAAAGAGTGCGAAGGGGAATGGCCCGCCATTGTACCCGTTTCCAGGGCAGCATCATCCTGGTCCTCCGCCACAATCACAGCCGGCTCTCGAGAAGGACTTTCCTCTCGGTGGGAGGAAGAGCGCTTGCCTTGGCCCTTCGCCTCTCTCTTCCTCTTCCTCCCTGCTGTGAACCGGCTGAGCAGAAGATCGTCGTCCATCTCTTCTCCTAAATCTTGTAATTCAACTGAAAGTGGGGAAAATGGTTAGCCTTGAAGGAGATAAACTGAAACATTTTGGCAGGAAAAAAAAGAAGGTCAATTACCAAAAGAACCACAGTTAAGACCTTCCTCAAGAATGTCCCTCAGCTGGTCAGGCTGGTATCCCCCGGGGATGTCCCTCAGCAGGTCGGGTTAGTGACGGAGCTCATCCTGGACGAACTCAAGCCCCAACCCGGCAAGGGACTCCTCTGTCACCACCTCTTTGATGTTCATGACTCCCTTATTGCAGAGTTGACGGGTGATGGACAAAAGGGTGGCATCAGATGGGGGGCATGGGATGCGACGGAAGGAGGGGCGCCCTGAACCTGAGAAAGGAGATTCGGGCCCCGTCGAGACGAAAACAAAGAAAGGCTTTTAGTCCTTGGTTGACCTCTTCTTGTCACTGGCAAAGAGTTTACTGGACCTCTGGGAAAGGCTGGCATAGGACGCCCAATCCTTATGGCCCTTGGTCAACTTAAAGGTGAACACAAAATGGTCCAGGGTAGGCTTCACCCCTACATCCTTGCATCTGACCAGGTAGCCGGCGATGTACTAGTGAGAGTTGGGGACCAATTGGCAAGGAAGGAGGTCCACCACGTTGAGGAATTCGATCAACAACGGATGGAATGGGAAGCGCAGCCCCTTCTTTAAGGACGCCAGATGAACTGTGAAGAACCCTGGAGGAGCGTCTAGGGCGGTTTGGGTACTGGTAGGTCTCAGGACCTCGATGGAGGGTCCAACCATGTCAGTAGCATCGGCGAACCCCCGGTCAGTAATCTGGCAGTGGCACATCGCCATGATGTTTTCGTCCAACCTAACCCTCGAACCCTCATCTACCGCGGTTGAGGAAGGAAATTGCTTCCTCAATCGGCGCCGCTTTTGGCCAAGCGTAGCCGACGGCGACGGCTGAGACGCTTGAGTGTGACTTGGGTCACGGCCAGAGGCGGATTGATCGGCTTGGCGAGAATTGGACAATGGAGTAGCCGAATCGGAGTCAGAAACAATCATGGCGGCGAGAAAGAGAACTGACCTGGAAGAGAAGAAAAACGGGTCGGGTAACAGCGGAACCACGAACGGATGATGATGGAGAAGGCAAAAGGAGGAGATGGCGTCCAGCGGCGGTTTTTAACTGACAGTGGGAAGGCGAAGCAGCAGGTCATGATTGCATTTTCGTGGAGATCGTGCCCAAACGTCACACGAAACCCAAGGAGCGGCACGGATCCACGTTGGGATGCCCACGTGGACTTCGTGAACTCCCCATCCCTCAACGTGGCCCAGTCGAGGAATGAGGAGTTGGGGGGCTTGTGATGGGCCGATATCCAACGAGCGGCCCAATTGAACCATTTAATAGGTTCCGGGTCAAGCGCTTGGGGAATACTTAGGCTTGGGCCGGCCCATGGAGCTAAGCCCGGTCGATTCCAGTTCAAGAACAGCTGGCAGAGTATATCCGGAGGAGGAGACGGAACTGAATGACGGAGAGGAAGCCGGAAAAAGGGGATCGCGCTATTGACGGGAGAGATTCCATTGATTATGTATTACCTTAATTGTCTAGAGCCCATGTATAAATAGAGGAGACCCGAAAGGGGAAAACTCAAGCTAAATCAAGCTAATAATACATACCCAATTCTCGAATTCTTGTTCTTAATTCTATTCTTACGATCCGTTCTCTGAATCGGATCATTTGGTGGATTTATTGTCCATCAATTTTTATTCAACACAAAAAGGTTTCTTTTTGGGTGGAGATCCAAAGTTTCCAGGTGAGAAAGATGTCTAGTTTGAACATTAAAATTAACAAGTTTACTAGATGAAACAATTAGACTTCTGGGCGCTGCTATCTAGGAAATCAAAGGTAACGAAATCAGATGACAATGAGTTGATTAGTTAAGCAGAAAAAGCTCATTCGATGATCATGCTCTTTCTGGTTGAAGAAGTAAACATTGACGTTGCTGATAACGAAACTCACACTAGTCTGTGGTTAGAACATGAAAGTGTGTATATGACAAAGTCTTTGACCAATAAGTTGATTTTGAAGCAACATCTATTCAGTTTGCGTATGCAGGAAGGTACACCTTTTGGAGAGCATCTAAAGAGGCTGAATATAACCCTATTAGATGTACGCAACATTGATGTAACGGCCCAAAACCCGGCTTAGTAGTTAGCCGTTATTTTAATAAAAATAAATATTAAATTTATTTACTCTAAAATATGAATTATTTGTAAAGTTATCCATTTTATATGAAAATTGGATTTTCGGGTAGATCTCGTAAAATAATGACCAACGATATATAATTTGTTAAATTTGGACATATGTATAAAGCATGGTAAGTAAAATAGACATTACAGTTCAATAAAGAAATATAAAGATTTTATAATATAATATATATAATAACCTACTCCTACCCACAGTATGAAACCAAAACCCTCCCCTCCCTAATATTATATATATACAAGCAACACACAAACCCACGCCGCACCAGAAAGAAAGGAAACAACAGAAGCTAAAAGAAAAAAGGAAAGAAAAATATATACGGAGTTCTGATTGCCGCCGAAGAAGAAACGCTGTTCAGCTATCACTGCTCCGTCAATAGCCGCTGACCGCCGTGCCGCAGTTGTGCCGCCGCCGCGGGGATCGCCGGAAACAGCCCGACCAATTGGTTCTTGCTTAGTTTAATTCGTCTATTAATCAAGGTCAGAACTTGCACATCTAACGCTAGATTTCGTATATAGATTTGAAATTCACGTTCGTAGTTTCGTATGATTGATTACGTGATTTATTTGTGTTAATTGAATTATTATTATAAATTGTGATTTAATGGAAATTGAAAAATCGATGGAGAACGAGGTACGTTTTCTACCCCTAATTACATGGTAATGTGTATCATTCGCCCTACAGATGTTATGTATATTGTTAATTGACGAATCAACAAAGCATGCCTTGGTTCCGCTAGATTTCCGAGTTACTGTGCGTTAAAGGAACCAAACGGTACCAAGGTACCTGTCGACGGTACCGAGGTACCGTACCCAAACCCCCCTTTGTTCTGCGCTACTACCGGTAGCTGGAACCCGGCGGTATACCAGTGCCGTACTGACTGTACCCAGGTACCGCCAGACGGTGCCGAGGTACCGTGACGGGTACTGTACCGACAACTGCGAAACATGTTATTCGATTGTTTGACCCAATTTGGAATCTCAATTGACTTTGAGCCTTTATGTGTTGCATGACGGTAAATGGAAGGTGTCTACACCCGACATTAGGCCGCTATTTGGATTTGCGTGATGACTTATTTTGCTTAATTCTTTTCTCTTGATTTGTTGTAAATGTGGTGTGATATGCCTTTAACGAATAAAGTAAATTGAGGTTGTTGTTAGCTTGGATCTGTATAATTGAAATGAGTTAATGAGATAGGTTACCTAGATGAACTCTAGGACTACTTTGTGAGAATTGAGATTGTAAGTTGACAATAGGTGTAGAGCCTTGTGGACTTAGTCCAGTGGCATTCGGGTAAAGATGTACGTACATGGAATCTGGGATCTGATCCGTAGGATTGGAGGTTCCACCCAACCGGCGCCGTAGGTACCGGGTTGACCAGAATCATGGCCGTANTGAGTTAATGAGATAGGTTACCTAGATGAACTCTAGGACTACTTTGTGAGAATTGAGATTGTAAGTTGACAATAGGTGTAGAGCCTTGTGGACTTAGTCCAGTGGCATTCGGGTAAAGATGTACGTACATGGAATCTGGGATCTGATCCGTAGGATTGGAGGTTCCACCCAACCGGCGCCGTAGGTACCGGGTTGACCAGAATCATGGCCGTATGTAGTGGTTCTGATGTCATAAAATAGACTTTGAGTCATGGCCGTAGGTTGTGGCTCTAAGTCCTAAGATAAGAATGTGGATAATGAGGAATTGGCCTTAGCCTAGAATATGTTATGAGCTAGCATTGGATATGAGTTATTGTGATGACTTGAATATTGTGATAGTAACATGTGCAGGTGGAGAACCAAGGTAAGTAACATATTGCGTGAATTATTGGTATTCTTGATGTTATAAATGTTGTACTTGTGTGCTTGATATTGTATGGAATTATGAGCTAGTGGGTTCGTCTATGTGCGTAGTCGAACGTTAGATAGATTCCACTCACCTTCTTTATTTAGATAGATTCCACTCAGCTTCATTGCTGAGCGTGTAGCCCTTTTTCCTATTTGCTACACGTAGGTAACAGGAATGATGATTAATGAGACGATCTTGGAGGCAGCGAGGGCGAAGAGATGGATGGATGCTAGCTGGAGTAGTTTATTATTTAATATTTAAGTTTGAATTATTATATTATTAAGGGCAAGAACCCAAAGTTGTATTTTGATTAAGTACTTAAAGGCTTCCGCATCGTTTTGATTTACTCTGATGGATATTTAAATATTGTTTTGAAGTAAATGTTTTAAATTGTTTTGGAAATTATTGCGTATGAATGCCAATTAAGTAGCAACCCGATCCGCTGGTCCTTGTATTCGGGTCACGCGGGTTGGGGTGTTACATTTTGGTATCAGAGCAAGTGGTTTTAAAATCGGTCTTCGGACTCTTTAAAAAAAAATGCTGATTTGGTTATCAGGTACTTCAGCTGCAGCATCCGCATCTCTCGCAACTCCTCTGCCTCAGGAAGGTAATTAAAGTTGATTATTTGTTTACTATGAGTTAGCATTTAATTAGGAAAGTTGATCTATATAGAATGAGCGAAGCTTCGAACAACCAAAACGAGACCCATGACATGGAACAAAACGTGGAGGCTCAACAGGACCCGATTATGCCTGCGTTCTTGACGCAATTTCTGGAGCAAATGGCGAACGCGCCAATGTTCCAGCCACTGCCTCCACCGCCTCCTAGGCAAATCACATTGAAAACGCTGAAGGACAATGGTGCTGAAGAGTTCCATGGGGATAGGATCTCTGATCCCCAGATTGCACTAGACTGGATTGAACAGACAGAAAGAGTGTTGAAGAATCTGAGTGTTCCAGACGCGAGACGTCCTGAGCTTGCTTTCCAGCTCCTTCGTAAGGGAGCATACGAGTGGTGGAAGCGCGCAGATGAGAAAGCACCTAAGCCTTGGACATGGGAGCATTTTGATTGGGCATTCAAGAAGGAGTACATACCAGCTCGCTTCAGAGAGGAGAAACGCACGGAGTTTATGGAACTAAAGCAAGGAGACATTACTCTCCCCGAGCTTCGACAGAAGTTTGACCACCTAGCCCAGTTCGCGACTACGCTGGTAGCCACGCCGGCCGACCGTATTGAAGAATTTCGTAAGAGGCTGCGTCCCGATATTCGGCCATATGTATCCACCCTAACCACTACAGACTTCTCTAAGGCTTACGATCTAATGGCTAAGGCAGAAAAAGACGTTGACGACTATAAGGCTAGTCTGAAGGCCGAAGAGGCAGGACCAAGTACGCGCCCCACTGCAAATACGACACCGAATGCAAAAAGGCCAATAGGAGAGACGAGTGAGGTATCTCAAGCGAAGAAAGGCAAGTCAGTGCATACCCAGCCAGTGCCGACTCATTCGGTTGCCTCAAGCAGCAAAACCCGACCTACGAAGATTCCCCCATGCCCTACATGTGGGAGATCGCATCGTGGTGAGTGCTGGCTCACCCAAGGACTATGCTTAGGCTGCGGAGAGGATGGACACTTTCGTAAGAACTGTCCTACGAACCCAGTAGAGCCATTTCCACCAGCGTCGGTGCGTAACCAAACCACTACGCAGCAACCGGCACAGAGCCAACGTACGACCGCTGGGTCAAACCAGCCAAGAAATCAGAATCAGCAAGTGGGAAGGGCTCCAGCCCGCACATACGCTATGATAGGACGCGCAGACCCCCAGGAGAACGACGCTTACGATGGTACACTTCGAAACTCATCTTGATAACGATTAGTTAAATGATATGTGTTCCCTATGTGCTAATCTGTGTGAACTATATGTGCATATGTTTTGAGTAGACCTTATACTAAGGAATTTCGAGGACGAAATTCTTTTAAGGGGGAGAGAAATGTAACGACCCAAAACCCGACTTAGTAGTTAGCCGTTATTTTAATAAAAATAAATATTAAATTTATTTACTCTAAAATATGAATTATTTGTAAAGTTATCCGTTTTATATGAAAATTGGGTTTTCGGGTAGATCTCGTAAAATGGTGACCAACAATATATAATTTGTTAAATTTGGACATATGTATAAAGCGTGGTAAGTAAAATAGACATTACAGTTCAATAAAGAAATATAAAGATTTTATAATATAATATATATAATAACCTACTCCTACCCACGGTATGAAACCAAAACCCTCCCCTCCCTAATATTATATATATACACGCAACACACAAACCCACGCCGCACCAGAAAGAAAGGAAACACCAGAAGCTAAAAGAGAAAAGGAAAGAAAAACATATACGGAGTTCTGATTGCCGCCGAAGAAGAAACGCTGTTCCGCTATCACTGCTCCGTCAATAGCCGCTGACCGCCGTGCCGCAGTTGTGCCGCCGCCGCGGGGATCGCCGGAAACAGCCCGACCAATTGGTTCTTGCTTAGTTTAATTCGTCTATTAATCAAGGTCAGAACTTGCACATCTAACGCTAGATTTCGTATATAGATTTGAAATTCACGTTCGTAGTTTCGTATGATTGATTACGTGATTTATTTGTGTTAATTGAATTATTATTATAAATTGTGATTTAATGGAAATTGATAAATCGATGGAGAACGAGGTACGTTTTCTACCCCTAATTACATGGTAACGTGTATCATTCGCCCTACGGATGTTATGTATATTGTTAATTGACGAATCAACAAAGCATGCCTTGGTTCTGCTAGATTTCCGAGTTACTGTGCGTTAAAGGAACCAAACGGTACCAAGGTACCGGTCGACGGTACCGAGGTACCGTACCCAAACCCCCCTTTGTTCTGCGCTACTGCCGGTAGCTGGAACCCGGCGGTATACCAGTGCCGTACTGACGGTACCCAGGTACCGCCAGACGGTGCCGAGGTACCGTGACGGGTACTGTACCGACAACTGCGAAACATGTTATTCGATTGTTTGACCCAATTTGGAATCTGAATTGACTTTGAGCCTTTATGTGTTGCATGACGGTAAATGGAAGGTGTCTACACCCGACATTAGGCCGCTATTTGGATTTGCGTGATGACTTATTTTGCTTAATTCTTTTCTCTTGATTTGTTGTAAATGTGGTGTGATATGCCTTTAACAATAAAGTAAATTGAGGTTGTTGTTAGCTTGGATCTGTATAATTGAAGTGAGTTAATGAGATAGGTTACCTAGATGAACTCTAGGACTACTTTGTGAGAATTGAGATTGTAAGTTGACAATAGGTGTAGAGCCTTGTGGACTTAGTCCAGTGGCATTCGGGTAAAGATGTACGTACATGGAATCTGGGATCTGATCCGTAGGATTGGAGGTTCCACCCAACCGGCGCCGTAGGTACTGGGTTGACCAGAATCATGGCCGTATGTAGTGGTTCTGATGTCATAAAATAGACTTTGAGTCATGGCCGTAGGTAGTGGCTCTAAGTCCTAAGATAAGAATGTGGATAATGAGGAATTGGCCTTAGCCTAGAATATGTTATGAGCTAGCATTGGATATGAGTTATTGTGATGACTTGAATATTGTGATAGTAACATGTGCAGGTGGAGAACCAATGTAAGTAACATATTGCGTGAATTATTGGTATTCTTGATGTTATAAATGTTGTACTTGTGTGCATGATATTGTATGAAATTATGAGCTAGTGGGTTCGTCTATGTGCGTAGTCGAACGTTAAATAGATTCCACTCAGCTTCATTGCTGAGCGTGTAGCCCTTTTTCCTATTTGCTACACGTAGGTAACAGGAATGATGATTAATGAGACGATCTTGGAGGCAGCGAGGGCGAAGAGATGGATGGATGCTAGCTGGAGGAGTTTATTATTTAATATTTAAGTTTGAATTATTATATTATTAAGGGCAAGAACCCAAAGTTGTATTTTGATTAAGTACTTAAAGGCTTCCACACCGTTTTGATTTACTCTGATGGATATTTAAATATTGTTTTGAAGTAAATGTTTTAAATTGTTTTGGAAATTATTGCGTATGAATGCCAATTAAGTAGCAACCCGATCCGCTGGTCCTTGTATTCGGGTCACGCGGGTTGGGGTGTTACAATTGATGTTAAAATAAATGATAAAGATGCTACTCTAATTCTGTTGGTATTTTTGCCCTTATCATATGAGAATTTTGTGAAGTCTTTTATTGTTGGAAAAGACAATCTGTCTCTTGAAGAAGTGAGATTTGCTCTTCATACAAGAAAAGTCCACCATAAAGCATCTGGTTCTAGAGTAGAAGATCAAGCATCAAGGCAATCTATTAATATTAGTCTGGAATAAAGAAAATCTAGTACAAAGAATTCGATCTCTAAGGGTCCTAAAATTGATGATGTCTATCATTACTGTAAGGTGAAAGGACATTGAAAAAGCAAGTGTCCTAAGAAAAAGAGGCAACACCAAAAGGGAGAAAGTTCTGCTGAGGTAGCAGAAGCTGACACGAAGTTTGAAGTAGATTTGGTTCTAGTTGGTAATAACCAAATACATTATAAGGATGTGTGAGTTCTTGACTCCGGGGCATCATATCATTTTAGTCTATATAGAGGGTGGTTTTAACTTATGAGCAAATAGACAAGGGTGATGTTTTCGTGGCCAACGAAGCTGTATGCAAGGTAATAGACTCCATTAGGTTGAGGACTCATGATGATACATTTTGCAACTTGAATGAACTACGGCATGTTCCACTTTTGACAAACAATTCGATATCCTTGACTCGTCCTGATAGTAGGAATTTCCATTTTGAAGGCAAAGTCAAATGAGAAAAATATTTCGAGATGAAGGAAATATTAAAATTTGTGTGTTTAATTGTTAAAAATGAAAAAGCGTGTAGAGGGCAAGCTTCTCTCTTCATAATTAATGCATTTTTATAAAATCTGAAGTATTTTTACTGAAAAACATAGTTAGTAATATACGGCAAACGTATAATACGTAAATACGTATGTTCGTGTATAATACGTTAGAATTTTATAAAATACGGCTTACAATGCATATTAAACGTTCGGCATACGGATATGGATACGTACGTGTTTTAAACGTTTACTATTTTTAAAATACGTCTTATTATATGTTTATATATTTTCATATATACGTCAAATCTACACATATTTATCGATTGATAGTTATCAATTTATATTAGGGTAAATAAACAAAATACAAAAATCTTTTAAATGAAATATTTACAATAGATTTTTTCAAATTAGAATCTCTATTTATTTAACATATTTATTTGAAAACGTCATTTGAAAAATAACCTTATTTAACTTTCACGTACGTAGTTTAAAAAAATGTTAAAAATAAAAACTTTATAGTTCTCGTTCCTTTCTAAAAAGAAAATCAGTTTTTGAGACATACAAAAAGGAAAAGAGTGAAGCTTTTTTTGAACGTGACAAAAAGTGTAAGATTCTTTGTAGAATGTAAATAGTATATATTTTTTCAAACTGATTGAGTATTGTATGTATAACTGATATGAAGTATTACTTGTATTTTGTTTAAAAAGTTTTTTGAACAAATTAATATTTGTTGTTGTACAAAAAAAATTATAATGAAATATTCAATTCTATAATTCATACGTATTATACGTAATTATACGTAAAGTATCAAATGTACGTATATTTTAAAGTATTTTTGGAAATCATACAAATACATAAGTATAATACGCGTATTATACGTACGTAAATATAATACATGTGTTATACGCGTATTAACTAACTAGGCTAAAAACTACTGTGCTAACTTTGTCCTAGATAGAATATTCGTGAGGTACTTTTCGCAACATTTAAGAAAGGTGAAAAAACTGAAAATTTATCAAATTACACATAAAAAAGTGGGTGGATTATTATGCAAAAATGTACTCCGTAATAAATAAAGAAGGTGAGATGGAGTATGTGTAATATTTAAAAGGGTAATCATTAGATTTTTTGGGAAAAAAATTATTTGAGATCTTTCTCAGATAAAGGGAGTACTAATTTTTAAAATGCTTTAGGAAAATGATATTTTTACAGTTATGTTCTCCCTTTGTTCGGATTTTGTTAGAAATTGTACTAATTTTTTAACGGAAAGTATTCTCCTTCCAATCCAACTTTTCTTTGTAAAATTTGTAAGCATTGACCCTGAAATGCTGAAATAATACAGTGTGTTTAAATATATATGTAATATTAATAATTTTCTTTCGAACATTGTTTTAAAATATTAAAACTTTACATGAAATATACTCTGTATTTGTGTATGAATATCAGGCGACAAGTCATTCACAAAAAAAGTCTATGTTTTTAAAAATGTGAATAAAAATCATAGGACATGGACATTTAATACTCTGTAAGTATATACAAAAAAAATGATTATTCAAAAATATGAAAAAAATCTACAAAACAAGAGGTGACATGAACATATCATTTTATCAAATAAGTAACAAAAATGAAGAAAAAAAAAAGTTTAAAGTTTGACGGCCACATGAATAATACGGAGTAATAAACAAACATAAATTGATAAGTTGAGATAGACGAAGTAATTGCCAAACACTCATTAGATATAACTCGAAAAAATGCTAGGAGTAGGAGCGGCACCCAAGAGCCACCCACCACCTACGATGATAGAGAAAGACAGTGGTTGCACATCAATGTTTTCTTTTCTTGTGAGAAAAGAGGTGAAAGTTGGTCTCACTCTTGGGAGACTGACTCCAAACTTAATTCAAATAACTTTACAAAAGTATGTATGGCCTCACAAAATCAAGTAAGCTGTCCCTTGTCACTTGTCACTTGTCACGAATTTCTCGTCTTTTAGGGAGTAAATCTGGCCGTCGCCTGAACCTGAGCATGAATCTCATGCCTACACAAATAGCCCAAAAAAGTTTAAAATCAAATCATAGCAGTTTTGGAGAAGAGCAGTTGAGGCATTTTTTGTGAAAAATATTTGTGGTTAGCAGCAGCAAAAACACCAAAGTAGAGAGGAAAGGAAGTAGAGAAGACAATTTGAATGAAAAGATACTTAAGGCAAAAAAAAAAAGATGTACGAATTATTGTATAAAGAACACTGCTTTGCAGTGTTAATGAAGAACTCGATAGTATAACGAATCGCGTATAAACGCTTTCAGATAAAAGTTATTTCGGGGTATACGAAATACTTCAATCGGATAAGACAAGACGTTAATCAACAACAAGCACTCGAAATCCAACTATCAATCCATACCACGAGACTCTATTTTATAGAGTCGAAAATTCATGATCGGACATGAACGTCCGCGCGGAGGTGAAGAAACGCGCGAGAAGAAGATCCTGCAGTTTTGGAGTAAAATTTGACATTATCTAGTCGTTCGAGTCCTTTATTATTTTGGATTCCGATCATGAAAATCATAAGGATTTTGGACTTCGAACCCAGCCACGGACTCTACCCCCGCCAGGGGCGTCTGCCCCTTGGACCCTGCTACCCGGGGGCTACCGTCCCCAGAACCCCCGCTACCCAGGGGGCTGCCGCCCCCGGACTCCCGCTGTGAATATGCAAAATCATTGAACGAGCACGCACTCCGCGGCTCCTAACTCATTTGACAACGCCTATTTAAATTCTTGTTCGATCTAAACAAATTCAATCACACAAAATAGACCGATGACACTGAATTCACCAACAAAAGAGTCACAAGATCATTCATTTTATATTTCTATTATATAAAACTAAAAAGTTTAAATCCCTTCCCAATATTTTTGAAAGCATCATATATCTTATTTTCTAAGATAGATCGAAACATCATAGCATAACATAACATGATTTTTTTCTCTCCTTATGATTTTCCAAGCATACCCTATAGATGAGGTCATAATCTACCGCCAAATCTAGTATTTGGAAATGAGGCTCAATACTTGAAAGAGATTGTTAACAGTAATGCCATTTATTATTAAAAGCTTCACTACGGGTCAAGTTGTTCTCATATGTTCAATTTTACCTTGATAAATTCAAATGTAAAAATATGCTCCGTACAAATATTTTTTTGACTTTGCATATACTATTCATATTTCTTACCACTCATTTATATGATAGACATATACGAATAAAATAAGTATAGAAAACCATAATACCTGAATTCCTAGATAAGAATTTCAGCATCTCATCAATTATAATTACCTGTATTAGACAAATATTACTGGAATAAGTGGAACACTAAGAACTTATTTGAAGTATTATCCCAGAAAATAAAACAAGGAAAATCAATCCGTGGGGAAATTCCCTATGAAACTGTTGCACTAGAAAAATAAAATGTAAGCTTCCGGTGTCATTACAAAATATAGAATTAAAATCACTGAAAACTAATTAAAATGAGTTAAGCCATGTTCTCTTCATATGTTCTGATTGGTTCTGATCTAATCGGAATGTAGTTATATTTAAAGCTTTTTGTGATCTAATTTGATTTGATTTCAATAAGAATAAGTAATAACTAAAAAAATAGGTTGGGGAGAACATAGCCTTAGTTAAATCTTCCACAACATATCACTTTTCATATGCAATTAATAGACTAGTTTTTCGTTTAACATGGAATTTATACACATGACTTCTCTAGCTAAAGTGGGTTGCCAAACAGTGGAAAACAATCTCATATTTTACTTTTAAAAGTGGAGTTGCATGGCTTGCGTATAAGTTGAACAAAAATAGAGTATATCCAGTGCAAGTTTGGCAACAGAAGGATAAATAGTAACATCAAGGTGAAAGCCAGAGAAAATACTATACCACAAGTAAAGACAATGTAGAAATAGAGGACGATGTTAACCATAGGACTAAAGGGAAAAACTTACCGTAATACAATTAAACCAACTATATTGTAGGAAAAGAGTGAACATGAGCACAAGGTTAATGTGGCAGAAATGAAGATGCTTCGATGGATGAGCGCTCATATGCATATGGATAGAATAAGGAATGAAGATATGAGAGCTAAAGTTGGAGTGACACCTATTGTACGAAAGATGGTGGAAACTCTTATTAGGTGGTTTGGACAAGTGGAGATAAGACCAATAGAGCATCTAGTGAAAAGGGTTGATCAAATTGTGAATAGACATGTTGCTAGATGAAGTGGTAAACCTAAGAAGACTTAGCACAAAGTGGTCAAGGGGGACCTTCACATAAATGATCTCACAACAGGCAGAGATATGATACATGATAGGGTGCAATGACGTCGTTTGATCCATGTAGCTGACCCCACCTAGTGGGATAAGGTTTTGTTGTATTTTACTATTAAGTAATCCCAAGCAACTCATTAACGTAATAAAATGGCCATAACTATTAGCTTCTGGGGCATACATTCTCAAAGTGTTAACAAATAAAAAATGCCTAGCAATGGTTTAGAAGAGACTTACAGGAAATGAAAGATAAAAAACAGTGGTCCACTCTGCCCAACCAAGTGGTGTCACCTGCAACACAGTGGTCCATTCTTAAACAGATATCAAATAGAAACATGAGATTCATTGAGCATATCAAAGGACACGGTTAAATAAAGAAAAACATCTCAACTTACAGAGAAGAGAACAGATAATGGTTGCACATACAGAATGAGTACATGTAGCAGCATTGTCAGAACAATTGAAGCAACAAGCCACATATTACTCCATGGTGGAATGACACTAAAATTTCAGAAGAATAAAAAGGGGAGTACGTTAAAGATTAATTTTCAATAACTGATAAATATTGGCAAATGGCAAACTGTGCTCCTGTTCTATAATAGCCATGTTGGTTTTACAACAAGAATATTGTAATGGGGACATTAACACATCACTATAGCAACTATCACAACTCATCATTGCCTCATAAAAGTTTCATAGCAAATGAAAAAGAACTAATGATGTAGACCATACCATTATAATTTATCCATAGTAAGGTCACAAGATCAGCTTAAAACCATCACTACATTTTTGCATGGATATATAATGTTAACTACTTTTAGACAATAAATTGATAACATAAATTTCATGGAACTGACCCATAAATAGTTGGCATTAAGATTTAAGGTGACAAGTTGATGGATACATAATATCATCTATGGAAAAAGAGAAACCTATAGGTTAAGAGTTATAGTGTTTTGCTTCAAATGGAGACAAACTAGTAGATTGAAATTAACTTTTAAGTACTCACAGCAAGGATTGATTTTCACTGAGATTATTCAGTGCATTGAACATCTCAACAACAACAAGCACTGTCATTGAAATGGTAGATGGGTGCCGGTCACTAAATATGCTACAAGAATAGCTAGTTTCCCTTCTTGAACAGCTGTCAAAATTCATCTGCAAATACATACTGAAAAATTAGCATTACAAAATATTGTTTGAGTACATCTGCATAGCCTTCATACTGAAAGAACACACATTTTAAAAAAAAATAGAATGCTCATCTGAACAACAAAGTCATATCACTGCTGTAAAACTTACCAATTCACCGTACGGAAGTTTAGGCCCGTTATCATAATAAATAAACCACCAAATAAATCCTGCAATAGTGGCTAGCCCAACATATGCTGCAAAATTGAAATTTTAATTGTTATATGCCAAAGAAAAGACACGTCCACCATAGTTTTGAAAGGTGAAAGATGAGAGGCAGGCAAGAGGGCCCTTTTTAAGGCAAAAGGCCAGGCGGCCAAAAGGGGAACTTGGGGCATATACACACACATAAAACAATTCTACTCCACCTAAAATGTCTAAAATACCCTCCTAAACACTATACCCGCAATAAACTACGAAATAGAGGTGTATTTTAAACATTTTAAGTGAGGTAGAAGTGTTTCGAGGGATGCGCAAATAGTTAGGGCGGAAGTGTTTTGTGAAATGGAGGGAGTATATGACAGTTGCACAATTTTCATAGAGCATTCCTGTTTATTATTTCTACTCTAGTTTGAGTTCATTTGTTTTTGAATTGTAAACACTTCTAGGGGAGGTATTTCTTGTGTTAAAGTTGAAGGTTGTTGTATCCGTCATGTATCCTTAAGCATTGAACCTTGTGAAATCAAGTGGTCGGCATGGTTGTTAAGTCGAGAAGTCGAGTCGAGTCGGTGAAGGGGAGACTAGTCGACAAGTTACAATTAGTATTAGAATTTTTAACATTTTCTGTATCTTCATTCACCCAAGATAACTATATAAATTTATATGCCAAAATATCACCACCAAAACAAAATTATGTTTAAAGGTACACATAAAGTCACATTAAGTCATTGAAAATTTAATAAAATTTAAAAATTAAGAGTATAATGTACTTTAATAGTTTAAAGAACCATATTAAAGAAAATTAAACCAAATTAAGAGTATACTTTAGTTATAAATAACTAAAGATAGAGAGATCTTATCCATGGATAGAGAGCTTGTGAATCCTCGAAGATGAAGAAGAATCAAATCCAAAAAATTGATCCTGGAAGAATTCGATGAAGGAGATGTTGCGATTTGGGAAGGGTTAAATGTCGACTCATTGTGCTGATCAAGGGAGGCTATGTTCTATCGAGTAATTTTTAAAGTTTAATAAAATTTGGGTCGGGTTGGGTCAAATTGGGCAGGTTTTCTTCACAGACTAGTCTTCGCCTAGGCGTGCTTAGGCGTTGCTTAATTTGCCCAATCGCCTAGTCTACCCTAGTCGCTAGTCGGCGTGCAAGTTGCCATACAGAAAATGCCTTTCAACAACTAGACATCAACTAGGCAACAACTTGACAACAATGGTAGTCGGTCATTTAAGATTTAAAAAACATTCTTATATTTATTATAATTTCACAAAGACATTCTTATTTCAAGTGATTGAGGTTGTGAAATATAGTTCTCGGTGGGTTATCATATTAAACAATCTTAATATGATTGAGAATATTTTCTTAAGCGCTGAAGCCTGTTAAAAATTGAAATTTCATATTTATGTGCACAAGCTCGTGCTTTTGAATCTCAGTTGTTCTTTTCTTGCCATATAAAGTCCATTGCAGCAACTGCAGACAGCAGAGCCAAAATGCTCTTTTGCACTCACTTCCCTTTTATTATATCAAGTTAAAAGCATTTCTGTTCGATGTCCATCCATTTTAGCAAGCCTTCAAGTTTTATTCTTTGTTGAGCTATAAGCCTATAACTCATATGCAATAGAAAAACAATGAAACTTCAATATATAAGGGTAAGTTAATACTAAATTTACAAGGCATGGGTTTTGTTTTAATGTTTTGGAATAATTTGCTCTTCATATGTATGTTGGTTATGATTTTATTATCTTTATATTTCTTCCTCAAGATAATTTGAACTATTGCACTAAGTTAAATACTTCAAGTATTGGGCTAATGAAAAGCTCATTTATGCTGAATATGATTTGGTTTTGTTCCCGAAAGTAGTATTTTGTTAGTACAATGGGGGGTTTTGTAGGAGGAAAGTTTTAAACATTATTACTAAAGGTGTTTTTAGTTTGACTATTATCAGTACCACGAGCAAACTTGATTTCACAAGCTTTATATGCTAAGCCTAATCCCGTGAAATAAGAATTCCTTACTGTAATAAGAATTCTTATTTTACAAAAAGTGATTCAGCCTCTGAGATGTACAAACGCAAGCTTAATACATTTAAATCTCTTTGAATAATTTGATTTTACAAACATTCTTTATTTCTATCATATAAGAAGACACTGAAATTATTAAAAAAAAAGTGGGTAAAACACGGTTTGGCAGTTACACAGATTATATAAAATAGAATATGAAGTGTGCAAAGGAACTTATGTTACCTCCAATAACTAGATACCGGAAGAATAACCACCCACTAACAACTGCTTCATTAACCTGTCATCGAAACATGTTTAAGAACAAAACCCAATGCAGCAACGACAACCCCATAGAATCCCTCGAGAGTACGGTCTAGGACCATAGCCCTACTTAAATGTAGAGAGGTTATTTCAAAGAGACCCCCACCTCCAGCAACTCAGAGTACACATGGCACAATAACTAACAAAGAGCAAACTAAGGGTAAGAAGAGCGCAAGGAGACAATAAGAATAAAACCCAATATATCCTTGAAAAAGAACAGTGAGAAGTTCACATAAAGGAAACATATTTGAAATAAATCCATTTGAATTAAATAAAATACAAAATAACTAAAAAAGGCCTTTTGAAAAAGGGTTACGTTATAAAATAACCTTTTTACAAATAAATTAGTAAGGCACCAATGCATGTCTGCTGAAAAGGGCCAAAAACAGCAATGTTAAATCTAGTCCAGGCCCAACCGTACAAGTGTACAACACAGAACGGAGAGATACCTTGCGAGGTTTTATCTTCATAACATCCGAGTCTTGTTTATTAAACCCAATAGCAGTGGCAGGCAAGCCATCAGTAACCAAATTTACCCACAGCAACTGGACCTGCAAGTTGACAAAATACAGCGCTAGATTCAACAACAACCCAGTAGAATCCCACAAGAGTAGGGTCAGGGAAGGGTGTGTGTACGCAGACCTTACCCGTACTCGAAAGTAGAGAGGCTATTTCCAAAGAGACCCCCGGCTCAGCATCGAAAGTTACATTGATTGACTAACTGCTACTTCATTAATTAAAGAGCGCACACAATATGGAGATTCATTTTGCTTTATTCCATCACACCCAAAGCCAAAAAATAGTGAATTTTTGGTTCCATCACAGGTGACGGAAAAAATACAGCGCTAGATTCAATCAGCGCAAATTGCTCCATGGTAATAGCAAGTCAATTTCAGTACTTATGGGCTTGTACAGATCACATCACTCTAGGATAAACACCTGTGCTTCCTCCCATCCAATGTTCTCAATTAAATACTTCTAAGACGAGTTACAGATGACTGACATATCTCATGCCAAATACGGAGTAATGAAACAATTTTGAAATACTTGAAGCAAATACCATCTACATGCCGTGCAGGTCTTGTCTACCTTATCATCTAGCAAACTAACCCAAAACTCTGTAAATTCTAAGCCACCAATTAATTGGTGGGAAAAACATTTTGCATCATGTACCCATAGTAAGTTAATAACACTTTTGTAAGTAAGGCCCTCAATTTAATGCTTTTCAAATTAGCTATGTTGGATAAGCTAGGATATTTTTCCATCATCTCCGATGGAGCCAAAATCTCACCTGTTTTTGGCTTTGGGGTGTGATGGAATAAATCAAAATGGATATCTAAACTATTTGCGCTTCTTTAATTAATGAAGTAGCAGTTAGTCAAGCAATGCAGCTTTCGACGTTGAGCCGGGGGTCTCTTTGGAAACAGCCTCTCTACTTTCGAGTAGGGGCAAGGTCTGCGTACACACACCCTCCCCAGACCCTACTCTTGTGGGATTTAACTGGGTTGTTGTTGTTGTTGTTGGATAAGCTAGGATATTTACAGTACATTCATTCATGGAAAATAAGTTTTAACTTTATGTTTTATTGTCATGTGAAACGCTTCTCGATTTTTTCTATTCACTTGCCAAAGAAGTGATAAGAGACTTTTCTGGCTAGCAAAGCTACGTGAGAGGAAAGCCCATATCGCGTGAAGGGCATCGATGGTAGAGTGTTGTTTGACACTGCGGAGGTGGCAAATGATGGGGGGGGGGGTACTTCCGTGGCCTTCTAGATGAGGGAGGAGATCCGAGGTTAGAACATGGTGAGCTGGGGCATTTCGTGACTTTGGGTATTGCCGGGGCATTTTTGGAAGAGGTGGCTCGAGCCTAAGAAGATTTTAAAGGAGGTGATTAGACTAGACTTAAGACTTCTTTCCCTTAATGAGAAAATGATCTTAGATAGGAGCATTTAGAGGACTAGGATTGGAGTAGTTGGGTAGGTGCTATGGGCTAGGTGGTAGTTTTTCGTACTTGTGTGCTTGATATGCCTTGTATGGTGCGTGCTCTCTATTTGCAATACTTTTCTTTCGTTATCATTTGTTTGATCTTTATATATCTCCTACACTCTTTTATTATCTATGCCGCTTGAGCCGGAGTCTCTTCCAATGTCTCTACTCTCGAGTAGGGGCAAGGTTTGTGCACAGACACCCTCCCCAAGCCCAACTCTTGTTGTACTTGCCATAGAAGTGCACACAAAGCAAATCAAAATACATCAAATTTTGACCAATAAATATAACACATACCTGTCGTAAAAATTTATGCAAAAGTTTGATGCATGTTATCTAATATGTTCGTCCATAAAGCACTCTTGCAAATATAACCTTGTATAGCTTATTCTAACAATGCTAAAAACAAACTAAACACTGGGAAGTCTTTTATACAAGAACACTTTTCTTTCGCCTAAAAACACTTCCTTTTTCCAACATCTCCATGATATAAGCAAAGCACTAAGATAATTAATGACACATCTAAAATTCTAAATACATTGTAAGTTTGAGTATCAACGACATAAAGCAAAAACCTAAGTTTTAATAGGACTCTTTCATATAAAAGAAATCATGCACTATGAACTCAACAAAACATGTTCACAATTTTAGGGATGTATATATATATATATACATACATACATACATACATATATATATATATATATATATATATATATTGTCTATATCTTTTAGGGTCCACCTGTGCTACAAAAAGCGCTAGGTGGACACTGGAAGGCCACCTAGCGCCACATAGCACTACCTACAATTACACCGTGGATCATGCGCTCGTGTTCTAGATATTTGATTCTAAAAAAATATTTTATGATATAAACAAGTGCATCTTACTTAGCGTGTCGTTGTGATCATAAACTAAAATATCGTAAAACACCGAGTTACAAATTCACATTCAATATAATAGAAAGATAACATTTAGAATATCACATTTAATGTAATACTCTCTAAGATTGTTTTTACTTGACCCATTGTGGTTCATGATATTTGACTAAATTTATTTTCAATTCCAATTATTTGAAAGTTGGTGTAAACTTTAAAAATTTTATTTCAAAACTATATCAAAAGTTCTTCAAAACAAGATATGACATGACTATACTATTTTTCAAATGAATAACAAAAGACATGCAAAGAAAGAGGATAAAGTTTGATCCTATGAGATCAAATAAAAAAGAAACAAAGGGAGCATATTCTATCATATATTTATTATTGCCTATTACATTAAAAGTGTTTATAAAGTATAATATTTAAATAAAAAAATGTCATTTTAGCTTAATCAAACATTTTTTTTAAAAAAAAGAGGAACCATCTAGAGGCTGGAGCCAAGGTCCTGCCTGGACCGATTCTTTTTAGTGGGGTCCACAGGAGAACATGTGAAGCAGTGTTTCTACCATTTTCAAGAAGTTTGTTCAAGTTTAGAAGTCAAAACCTAACAGTATATCGTGAACCATATTAATAATAATTTCTGTGAAGAAAAAATGTTAGTAACTAAGCACACGAGGTATTGTCTTCTAAGAAAGACTCACGGGTGCAAGTGTGTCAGGTATTCCAAGCATTGCGGCCACAAAAATACAGACCACTTCCCCAATATTAGAAGATATCATATATCGAATGAACTGCTTTGTGTTGTTATATATAGCCCTTCCCTCAGCAACAGCCTGCATAGAGTATAAAGTTGTGTCAACACAGAAAACTCAAAAGAAAACCCTCCAGCTTTAGGTTGATAAATAAAATTTACCGCAACAATTGATGCAAAATTGTCATCTCCCAAAATCATATCTGAAGCACTCTGAATGTTCAAAAGATAGCACAGAGTGTAAGATGATTGGACGTGACCAGTTGACCACAACATGAGCAAAGCATAGATAATGCAAGAGATACCATACTACATACAAAAAAAAGTCAAAGGGGAAAAAAGTTTTCATATCATTCTCATAAGAAGGGTAGTCAAAATTTTTGTAGGTTAGAAAGTAAGATAGCATCTACAGTAATGATTGAAATCCAGCAATTGAATGTATCCAACAAGGGTGATCAGAAAAGTTCATTTGAACTAAATAACACAATAATTGAAATCCACACTTCCAATTACACATGTTATATGTGAGGCTTTGAGTATATCTTTATAGTGTGAATTAGAAGGAAAAAAATTAGGCATCAACAGTACTAACTCAAAAGTAACTTTAATTATAACGACAGGTAACAACATTATAATGCTCCTTTTTACGAGTCCCCAATAAATGGGATTGTTTTGTCTTGCACAGAACATAAGGTCACTTTAATGGAGACTTAGAGTACCAATAAAATAGAGACCACGCACAGTTAAATATCCTTTCAAATGATAGCATTAAACATTTAAACGTCTTTCAACATTCTTGCTTTCATACGTGCCTCTTAAGATAACACTCTAAAAATGGGAATACCTTTGCAACAGCTGTTCCTGATCCCATGGCAATCCCAATGTTAGCTTTCTTGAGAGCAGGTGCATCATTGACTCCATCTCCAGTCATTGCAACCTTAGAAATAAATGCGAGATTGCGAGTGAAGAGTTATTTCCTTTTTTATGCAATGAAGAATAAAATCCAAACTCCACGCACACATAAAAAGTCATTGTCACATACTAGTAAGGAAACAAAACAACTCATAGTTGGAGACATATACTATATAACTGTTTTTCAAAATGAAAAGGGAGTTGGATCAAAATCCCAAATTAGTCAAATCAATGGACAAGGGAATTTGGCCAATATTTGATGGCAAGCAAGATGGGAATAAGAAAGTCGGTTATTTTTTTGATCTGATCTGATTTTTTGTAGTTCTGATCTGATTAGATATTAGATCTGATCTAATTGGATCTGATCTGATCTGGTTTGATTTCATGATCTAGTCTGATCTGATTGAATCTGATCTCTGATTGATTATGATATGATTTAAAATTAAAATCAATAATTTGATTTGACTTTATAATAACGTTTGAAAATTGTAATGATAATTCATATTAAATATAATCAATATTTTTTATTTTATGATAATTTTTTTAATTCATATATTAGAATAATCATTCATATTATAATGTAATAATATTTTTAATTTCATGATTATTTTTTTGTGAAATAAGAATATTGATTTAATATTTTAATAATTAGTTCATATATACATTAAAATAAATATTTAATTTATATATGCATTAAAAAATAAGTAAATTTAGATAATGAATATAGAGAAGAGATAATATTTTTATTAAAATATCTCATCCTTATAAAAGATCAAAACTTTAGAAACTCAAATTACATATAGAAATAAAAATGTATTTTAAAAGTAGAATTAGATTGACACTGTCAACGTATTTGAAAAATAATTTTTCCCCAGTCTAATAATTAAAGATTAAGAAATCAGCCTACGTAGCACTCTAAGTCATTCAATAGTACGCATATACAACTCCTTAATCTATTATACGAATTTAGCTATTTATAGTGTCAATATATTACTTTCTTCATTTTCTATATAACTTATTTCTAAAGTTTATTCTTTTTCATTTTTAAGAATTATAATAATAATAATAATAACAATAAAAATAATAATAATAATAATAATAATAATAATAATAATAATAACAATAACAATAATAATAATAATAATAACAATAACAATAATAATAATAATAATAATAGTAATTATTATAATAATAATAGTAATACTAATAATAATTCTTGATGTGATCTGATCTGATCTGGTCTGATCTGATTGAATCTAGTTTGATCTGATTGGATCTGATCTCATCTGATTCGATCTGATCTGATCTGATTTTAATAAAAATAAGAAAAAATAAGAAAAAGTAAGTTGAACAGAACGAGGCCTTAGACCCTTAATGCATTACTGCATTTACTGCCCATTTTTTCATAGAAAGAAGCTAGGGAAGTTTATGTGTCATTGTTAGAATATAATGCACTGTTAAAGATGCAACCAAGTAGTACTTATGTAGATATAAGACAATATCCAAATCAAGTTTAGGAGAATAGATATCTACAGTATATTTTGAGTGCAAAAAATCTCTATGTATGTATGTGTGTGTGTGTTTTTGTGTGTATGTGTGCATGTGTGTGTGTATGTGTGCATGCCTATGTATGTATGTATGTATGTAAGTATGTAAGTATGTATGTAAGTATGTATGCATGTATGTATGCATGTATTTGTAATTATATATGTATGTATGTATGTATGCATGCATATATATGTATACATGTATGCATGTATTTGTAATTATGTATGCATGCATGCATGTATAGATGTATTTATGTATGGATGCATGTATGCATCTATGGTTGTATGCATGTATATATGTGTGAGTATATGTATGTATGCATGGATGGATGGATGTATGCATGCATGTATGTATAGATGTATGTATGCATGTATGCATCTATGGCTCTATGCATGTATGCATGTGTGAATGTATGTATGCATGTATGCATGGATGGATGCATGCATGGATGGATGTATGCATGCATGCATGCAACGCACACACACACAAGGCCTACCACTTCACTTTGATTCTGTAAGGCTTCAACTAGCATCCTTTTATGAGATGGTTCAACCCTAGCAAAATAAATATGTGTCAAATTCCTAATGCTCACTAAAGAAATTAATTTATGCAGTAAAAGTCAAGCATCCCAACAAATCCCAAGCTCTGACAAGAACGACAACTGTAAGAGGATGCCTTTGAAATTCACCTGGATAGAAGGGTCATTCTTTGCAACGCCACTATCTTCTGTGATGCTGGAAGTTCTTCAAATTGGCTAGCAGTATAAGAAAGTCCATCAAAAATGCCAAAGTGATCAAGAGCACCAATCTTTCGGCACAATGATTCAGCTGTCATCTAAGAGCATAGTGCAAACTAAGCAATTGTTATAAACAAATACATCATTACACCTAACATTCCAGAAATAACAGCGCTCTTTGTCTTACCTTGTTATCTCCGGTGACAACTATAACACGTATCCCAGCAGTTATACATGAAAGGATGGCATTTCTTACTTCCTCCCTTGGTGGGTCAAGCATTCCAACCTTTGAGGTTTGAATTGGTGAAAGTTTAAAATTAACATAAAATACAAAAAATTGGTTACAATTTAGAAGACATTAAGTTGCATTACATGTAACTACAATAGTAAGATAAAAACATCCCTCATTTAGAAAATCAAATAGTAGTTTAATACTAAATCCGTCCCATAAAGACCGTCACACATTCCTTATTTGGATGTCACAACAAATATTTCACATTTCACCTTTTTACATTTAAGAAGTTGACCCACTCCTCAACTCTTTAGCCCCTGCCACCACCTCCCTTTTCTAAGTCGTGCCCCCCTCCCTACACCCTCCATTTTTGATGTCATGTATCATATTGGCGCAAGTCACCCCTTCTTCGCTAAGTGACAACGTAAAAAACCACGCTGTATTGTTGTTGTTGATAGAGTTACTCTTGAGTCTTGTTTAGTTACAGCTTATAGTTTTTGATGTGGTATTTTGTATATATATCTAAAGTTCTCTTTTAGATGTAATACACTTTTATGTAAGAAACCAAATTGTCTCTTCTGATACCCAGTTGCTTCTTTTCCAGTTCTTTCCGTTCCTCTTCTTCATAGCTTGTCGCAACCTTCGTAAAAGTTCTTGATGAACTCATGCTCAAACAAACATGGTATCAGAGCCTAACAGTCGAGTCTAAGTATCTTCATCACATCGATTCACAATTTTGATTCTGATTAGACGGAGTACTATTAATATCACTATCATCATAAATATTACTCTATATTAGTATATTGTTATTATTCTTTTGCTTGTTGTTCAGTACATGACATTAATGGTTCAGATGTCTGAATGGTTCAGCACTTAATGGTTCAGACTGTTTGTTTCAGCCTCTTAATGGTTCAGATGTCTGAATGGTTGAATGATTAAGTATTATACAGAGTCTAAATGGTTAAGACCTCTTATCTGAATTGATCAGACATTTGCTTTTGAATAATTAAGCAATATACTAGCTCTTAATGGTTCAAACCTCTTACTAGTTCAGCACTTAATGGTTCAGACCTCTTACTGGTTCAGCACTTACCTATTTTAAGCAGGTCAACCTTAAACCAACCTATTTACTAATGAAGTGAGGATTGAGTTACCCATTTACCTGACCTATTTTAAGAATTTATTGTGTATTGTTATGGAGACAAATAACAAACTATCACCCCCAAATATGGTTCAGCACTTACCTATTCAGAAGTTGCCAAACAGCCCCTAAATTTTAAGCTTTGCTTAACCATATTTGGGGGTGATAGTTTGTTATTTGTCTCCATAACAATATACAATAAATTCTTAAAATAGGTCAGGTAAATGGGTAACTCAATCCTCACTTCATTAGTAAATAGGTTGGTTTAAGGTTGACCTGCTTAATTTATGAGTTTTTAGGCTGAAAATTTCAACATGTTTGATAAAAGAGTTAGAAGGGGATCAGCCAAATACAAACCCGACATGACACGCCATGTTTGTAACGTCTAAATTTTGGGCAGTAAATGTTGCAATGCATCAACAGTAGAATACACAACCTCTCTGTAAAGTCTGTACATTTTGACCCCCAGACCCCAACAAAAGACCCCAACAAAAGTGAGTTATGTTGGGTTTGTTGCTATTGGTAATCGAGATACAGCAACTAAGACACAACAAAACCAATAACAAGAAGAACAACAATGTCATGTGTAATCCCAGAAGTGGGGTAACAGAGCATACCAATCCAACAAATGTAAGGTCTTTTTCATCATCAACAGAGAGAGACTGTTGGCCCATAGGAATCCGTTTCAAGGCTAGAGCTAGGCATCTTAGAGTTTCTTTTCCTGCAAAACTATAACAAAAGAATGATTTGCATCTCCACATGAGTGAAGGAGGCAATCCAAACAGTCTTACATGGAGATTTTAAGTATAAAACTCTAATACATGGTATATATCTAGAAGGATTCACAATAACATTTATATTTGAAGTTAGTCACTCTAACCTATTAAACATCGTCTCTAGTTGTGCTTTGATATTGGCAGAAAGAAGAATAGTAGAACCATCATCATTGCACAGAATTGTGGTGCATCTAGAAAGTATGCTTTCTGGAGCACCTTTGGAGAAGATAATGTCCATCTGCTTCCTGCTGCAAAGTACACTCATCATTTTGCGGTCCCGAGAAAAATCCAAGGATGATACCTGAAAGACAAGGGATATTAAGCATTTAGTTTGAAAATCTATAACATCATATAAAAGCATTTAGTTTGAAAATCTATAACACACTATATATATATTAGTGTGTTAGAAAAATAGGAAATAGAAAGTTTTCTTTAATTATATTTTGTTCCATGGAATAATCTACTGTTTTCACATCTAATATGAATGTAAGCATTTTTTTATAACAAAGTTGTTTTGTAAAGAAACAAAAGACACATCATTTAAACTTTAATATAATATGTGTTGTAAATTATTTAGGAAACAAGGCTAAAATAGGAGTAACATATAGAGATAGAACAAAAATATGACCTTCAGTCTTTTATCCCCAAAATAAGATCTATATTGCCAGTAATGCAATCATATAATAGCATAAAACACTACGGATTGCCAATATACATTGCCACGTTGTCATAAAGCAATAGTCATATTTTGGAGATTAAAACATGCCACTCTTATTTTTGAGATAAAGGTTATGAAATGTTCCTAGTTTGGGAGATTTCTTCATTATTTAGTGGTTCCTTTTAATCTTCTAATTTATATTATTTTTTTACGATTGTAAGTAATAAATAAACTAAAAAGGCATCATATTTTTAATTATTTTTTGTTCCTTTTAATACTTTATTTTTTATTACGATGTTGTTTGATAAAAAAGAAAATACATCAAGTGTTTTATGTAATGTAAAATTGAATACTTTATTTTTTAAAATAATTTATCAAGAATGTGTGTTTTAAAAATAGAAAAAGTATCAATCTATTTTCATTTTTCTTTTTAATCTTCTAATTAATTTTATTTTTGTAGTATTTTTGTGTACTAAAAGCAAAAAAAGTTATCAAAATTCCAATCTTCCCTCTTTTTGAACTTCTCACTTTGCTTAAAATAATCTTTTTATTTTAAAAATAGTTTATTAAATTTTTTTTTAAAAAAGACAAATGTTATTAAAAAAAGGCATCAAGCTTTTGAATAATTTTTTTGTTCTTTTTTGTCTGTTAATTTATTTTAATATGTTCGAGTGTGTAATAAATAAATGAAGCAGCATCAAGTTTTCTACGTAATGTTAAATTTAGATGTTTTTAATCTTTTAGTTTGTGTTAATATTTTATCACGATTGTAGTCCTCAAGGAAAAAAGTTGGCCTACGGAAAATGTTAGGACGTGCTTGTAAACTTTAGACTTAATTCCTTATTTCTTTAACAAGATCGTAAAGTTGGTATTCTTAATATAATTAATTGTCATACAAGTGATAATGTTAATTTCTGTCAATCGTCGATTCTATGTTATTCATTACTAAACAAATCATTTTGAGAAGAATGTGTGCACCACACACGTTTTCCCCAGTAAATAGATGTATACTCTAAGCTATATTGCTTTATTTAGTGTACATCATTTTTTATTAAAAAACAATCCAAAAAAATAATTGATAAAACAAAAAGGAAAAGGAAATCCATAGTAAAGACGTATAAACAAACCTTTTTAAATTGGCTCTCCCAATAACGATTGCAGTAGGATGCACGCTCATGCTTGCTTAGCATATTTAATGCAGATGGCATGGAATCAAAACCCGGAAGACCAATCTGACAGCAATTAATTGGTGAAGTACTACAGTTGGTTCTGTCATTAACTCATTCTTAACAACTGACAATAGATATGCTAACAACTTAAAAGTGATTACAGTCACGTTCCATGACTTTCTGGTTGACTTTACAATCAGTCTTTTAATTGAGCATGACAATAGCACATCTCAACTCATTCATGTCTCATGATATTTTCATTGCAATTGGAAATAACCAAGGATGATGACAGCTTTAAAAATTTCATATCATGACTCGTTCTAATGGAGGTTGCAGCAAGGGCATCCGGCTTAAAACATTGACATAGTACTTTTCTTGAACAATTCTGTGCTAATTAATAGAGTATTATACAATTATTTGGCATCTGAGAGTACGTTGGTATGGTGCCAATATTTATGACAGCTTAGAGTTAATTATCAGTTTTAAGATCATCACTAACCTTTTCAGCTAATACACGCAGGGCTACTTCAGTTGACTCACCAATCTTTTCGTAATCCTTCTTGTCAGGATTGTATCTTAACACAGACTCATTGCAAAGAGCTGAACACATTGCTATATGAAGAAGACAAGGAGACTGTGCAGGAATGTCAAGCTGTAATACATGAAACTATAAGGACACAATCACAAAATGATAAATGAATACTCAGAAGGAACCTATAAATCACAATTTAGTAATAGTTTTTTCTGAATAGTAATGATAGAATTTAGAATGGAGTAGGGATCACTAGACTGGGTCATAAGACTTTGAACCACATTAAAAGATTGAATCCAATCGATTACTTATTTCAACTCAAGAACTTATATACTCATTATTTTCTTCTCACTTTTTCCGATGTGGGATACTCTTTAAGACTCTCCCTCAAGTGGACAACTGGATACTTTTGAATCTAAAATGGTTGACCACTTGCAAATGGACTCCCATCCACTTGATTTTTTTGTGTGCCAACACCTAAAAGACCACGAGCCGTTGAGTATGAACTTCCAGACGAGCAATCGGATTAAACAGGCCACAAGCCGTCGGATATACATTCCACAAGGACATATGGGCTAAAGAATAGGGTCATTGGAAATGAACGTCTAGACGGAATTAGAGAATGGGGTAGGGATCATTGGATTGTGCCATAAAATGCTTGGGTTGAACCACATTAAAAGATTCCAATCAATTACTTAGTTCAACTCAAGAGCTTATATACTCAATATTTTCTTCTCACTTTTCCGATGTGGGATACTCTTTAACAAGAATGTCTTTTGTCCGATGAGCAAAACTGCTATTATGTATTCTATAAGTTTCGTTGGGAGCAAATGATTACAAAAGACTAGTGGGAAAGTTAAATTATTTAACAATGACTCACGGGAACATAGCATATTAAATGACTGTTGATAGTCAGTAATTGTCATCCCTAAACATTGACATGGTATTCAAGACATTCTTTGTAACATGAAAGGGCTTCTAGGACGTTGCATTGTTAACAAAAATTAAGACTCCCAGAGTGTTGGTGGAAAACTAAGGAGCCATTTGGCTTATATTCTGAAAAGCTAACTCTGCATATTCTCATCCCATAATCAACCAATGCTGCATTTGTTTTAGATTCTCAAAATAACCAGTTGTTGATTCTGTTCACTAGAATACAATTTTCAGAAGTAATCAAGTGTTCGATTCTATGGAACTAGCTGATTCTGAGAACAGAATCAGCCAAAAAAGAAAAATGAAGCCAAATGAGCCCCCAGTATTGTGGAAACATATCCTGGAAAAGTAAGAATCAGAGTAGTGTTTCATACAAAAGTAAGAAACAAAGTGTTGTTTCTTGATCTAGTGCAAAGGACCATTATAGAGCTATGACACAAGGAGTGTGTGAGATCTTTGGATACAACATTTGCTAACTGAAAACGGTTCATATCTATGATTCCAGCAAAGTTATGTTGTGACAATCAAGCAGCCATTCACATTGCATCTGAGCCTGTGAACCAAGCATATTGATGTTCATTGTCATTTGGTTCGTGAGAAGATTCAGTTTGGTCTAACCTTTACATGTTTTATGAGAATGGATGAACACTTTGGAGACCTTTTTTGTGCTCCATCTTGAGGGTGAATATTATGGAAAGTAAATATTGTGCATATCATAGAGATTTGATTAGAGCATAATTTGTGATTCTATTTCCATTTATCATGGATTACCAGAACAAGGCTCATACATGATCTCTTTTGATTCAAGAATGGTAGACAAATGGACAGAAAATGAAATTTCGGCATTATGGCTTCGTAAGTTTTTTAATGGAAACTCTGAACTAATTTTTTCATATGGAATTTATCAAGTACACAAATAAGTTCATCACAATGCTTTATCTGATATGCTCAAGTACACCGAGAGTGGTTATCATCAAACGATAGAAGTCAGACTAAGTCCAGCTGGACAAACTTTTATTGTTCTCTAGGTAAGTTAATAGAGGTTGTGAATGTAGCAATATAAGCACCTGGACACCCGTGCTGTCAAACACAAAACCCTCTGGGGCATATGTTGTGCCACTAACACTGTACTCAACAGTATCTGGGCCACGATTCACAGAGTGAAGCACACAAATCTGAAAGAGAAAATAGCATATCAGTGTCACTACATAGGTCATCTACCTTTATAGAGCTCCCTTCTTTTAAGTCATTTGGAACTGCATGAAAAGATAAATCACTGGGCATGACCACCAATCAACTTATAGAAACAATATTGAGAAGAATAATATGAACAGTTGGCACAAACATCAAACAAATGCAAAAGATTATGGGATATAAATTAGCACACAAGGCTACATCGTCCCACAACAACACAA